GGTGTCTGTAGTTGTTGTTAGCTTAGCTTCTGTTACACAGTGTAGTTGTTGTTAGCTTAGCTGCTGTTACACGGTGTCTGTAGTTGTTGTTGTTAGCTGAGCTGCTGTTACACAGTGTAGCTGTTGTTAGCTTAGCTGTCATTGAGCTACCTGTTTGCATGTGTAGGGGCCCACAGCTCACGTTTGGCTCCTGACACGTTAACCTCTTGAACCTCTTGCTCCTGTCCCGTGTTCCAGCCGCTTCATCCTGCACATTCCCAGTGAGGAGAGGGACAACGCCATCCGGGTGTGCTTCCAGATCGAGCTGGCCCACTGGTTCTACCTGGACTTCTGCATGCAGAACACGCCAGGAGCTCCTCACTGTGGCATCAGAGACTTCGCCAAAGCTGATATCTTAACATGTGAATGATGACGTTCAATGATCTTATCCGTTTACAGCAGCACCTCTTCAGACTCTTTTCTTGGTGTAGTTATTTTCCTTGACAGCTGCAAACTTTTCCATCACTGTCCCTTTCTATTGCCTCATGGAGAGGATGTGCAGAAAGTCCTCGAACAGTGGAAGGAGTACAAGATGGGTGTCCCTACCTATGGAGCAATCATTTTAGATGAATCTTTAGAAAACGTGAGTTGTATTTGCCCACTAATACCTGACATGATCAAATAATAACAATGCCTCCTAAGAGTTCTTGATATGAAGGTGCTTCACAATGTTCACCTGTTGCTGAGGCTACCTGTTGTTCTCCTCAGGCTCTTCTTGTTCAGGGATACCTTGCCAAGTCTGGCTGGGGCTTTCCAAAGGGCAAAGTGAACGAGGATGAAGCTCCTCATGACTGTGCTGTGCGCGAGGTAAGCTACATGTTCTTTACTTTACATGAAATCTGTGTTTAATCAGTACTTCAGTTCAAAGTTCTGTGTTTCTCCAGGTGATGGAGGAGACAAGCTTCGACATCAAGAATCGAATCTGCAAAGACATGTACATCGAGCAGAAAATCACTGACCAGCTGGTGAGGCTTTACATTATACCAGGAGTGTCCAAGGATACCAAGTTCAACCCCAAAACAAGGAAAGAGATCAGGGTAGGAACCCCTCCATTAACATGCTGCTTTACAGCTTTTCTTGGCCGACACAAAGATCTCATGATCTTTTCTTGTAGAACATCGAGTGGTTCCCCATCGAGAAGCTGCCCTGTCACAGGAATGACATGACCCCAAAGTCTAAACTTGGACTCGCCCCCAACAGGTTCTTCATGGCCATTCCTTTCATAAGGTGCGTTTCTTTAAGAACATTTTAATTGTGAATGAAGTTACAAGTGTTGACCTCATATCAACTTCTTATAAACATTAAGAAAGAAAATGATCACCTATAAATATTATTTATTATATATTCATTTTCAAAACTCAAGACTCACTCATTTCTACATCTTAGACTTTATTCTGTTTTATTTACTACTGTTCATCACTTCTCTGAATTGTTTTTGACTTTTAAACTCCAACATTCTATCATTTTGTGAAGCTGCCTTTTGTGTTTCCTCTTTTCAAAAGAATAAGATTTACGACAACGTTTCCTCACCTCCTGTTTATATAATACTTTGCTGTGTGCATGAAGTGAGTGGAGGGTTGTTCTCATTGTTTTTTTTATTATAGCACACTTTGCATTACATTATTTATCTATTGATAGATACATATGATGTTTGTTTCCTTCTATCAAAAGAGAAATGTAAAAATAACAATGTTTGTTTGCCTCAGTTTCATCGCAGTAGTCGATTAGTATTGATGACTCACTTCCTACTTCCTGTCTTTACAGACCGCTGCGAGAATGTATAAGCAGGCTGAAAGGCGAGTCGACGGACAGCGACGAGGACTTCACAAACAACAGCAGCAGTCCAGGCAAACCTTCAGACAACGTTCGGTAAAAACGCTAAAACAATCCATCAGCAGTAAAACCACATGAGAAGCAGTTAACTGGGAGTGTCTGGTTAATTCACACAGAGAGCTATGGACAAAGCTTCATACAGTAGCTTCTGTCTGCTTGTTGGTTTGGTTTCTCTCAAACGCTGCTGTCGTCATCCTGATTTCAGAGAGATGCTCTGTAGGTTACCATGGCAATCTACCATGATTCAAACTGAGCCCAGAATAACCAAGTTAAGCCCAAAGTTAGCTTGATCACCCACTAATCTAACTTTAGGAAACGTTAGGCGCCTTCTCCTCCCTGGTGCTTTTGGTTAAGTACCTAAAACCTTTGCACAGTCCTCTAAATATAGGAATTTATATTAAATATAGAAATCCACCGCATCTGAAAAACGCTGTTACTAATTTGCTTAGCACAACAGACAAAGAGCGGGGAAGGGTTCACCAAGAGTTGACCCTCCATCCGGTTCAATAAAAAATATCAACTTTGTTATTTTTTCTTCTTTTAGGTCAAAATCCCGCCACCTCACTGGTACCTATGTATTTCCTGGAAACGGCTGGACAAAACACGTGTCGCAGAAGGCTGCGGGCCAGCCGAGCCAGTACGAGCTGAACCAGGTCAGAAGAGACAGACTGCTCTGCCAAAGATGCGTCAGGCAACAGATTCTTTTCTGTTGTTGGTATATACTTGTCTTAAAGGGTTCCAATCAAAGGGTCTGGTATATTTACTAGGCATTTGCATTCAAGTGTAGGAGTTAACAACAAGAAGCAGTCAGAGGTTATTAATGAGTTCATCACTGCATAGACTCTTAATTAAAAAGGTAATATGATACTTTATACTTTGTACTTGACCTTTAATCCATTTGTTCCTAAATGTTTATTAACCATCCAATGTTTCTATATTATAAATAAATTAAATGGACCGACCTGATCGAACAAGCAAATGACCGAGAGCTGCTCCCCCAAGGTCGCTCCTAACGTCTCTTCTTGATTCTGTAGAACCCAACCTTAAAGAGCAACGGGAAGAAAGGTCAGGACTCTTATGTAAAGAAAGGAGCCAACGACAATGGAGCCAGCAACCAGCAGGTGAAAACCATATTAGTAAGTACGAAACCATGTTGGTGCCAGATTGTTGTTTTTAGTGAGTGTAGAGAGAACAGAAGATTCTGAGATTTAAAAAAAGTCCAAACAATGAAATGCTTTATTTCTAGATTATTTCTGCCAGTGGATCTTAGACCACTTTTCAGACCTCCGTATGTGCAACCAGTAAATTATTGTCATTGTTAAAAACAAGCAGTGAACTCCTATATTATTTCTACAGCGGGACGATAAAAGACTTCAACCCAGACGACTGCAAGACAGTTTTGAGAGAGGTATGATTTATACAGTTACTCTGACTCACCATGAACTGCTCGATCCATCAATGTGACAACATTTGGTTCATATTTGGATTGTGTTGGAAAAGTGGAAAATGTTTTACTGGTTCCAGATCAGCAGAAGAACTGTTGTGGATATTTTTAAAACATGAGCAGAACACTCACAGAGTGAAACACTGGGGGTCATATTGTAGAAAAACATATTATGTGGACAATTCCGTGATATGTGCCGAGTAAAAATCAGTCAGCTTAAAGCAACACTCAGCAACTTAAAGTGAGTTTGATGTTTGAGTGAGTGTGAACATGGAGGATGTTTCCTGACCACATGAAGTGATGCACCAGAGAGAAAACATCTGGTGAACTCACTGGACCCAGAGAAACACTCTGATTGTACAGTAGTGGTACAGACCAAAGCTTCATCTGCCTCAGACTTTTCCTGTTAAGTAATTAAGCCTCCACCCTGGTTCACTATTTGTGCAGCAGAAAGACTGATTTCATTGAATGCTGAGACCACAACAAACCAGTTTTGTTTTGCTCTTCTGTTCAAACTTTCAGCTTTAGCTTGCAAAGATGAAATGTTGAGTGAATGTCCTCCACAAATAGAATATGTTAACAAGCTTTTCTTTTCACAGATGGGTCTGAGTGCAGCTCCAACGGCCACAGCAGAGACTGTGAGCACCTGCTCTCGTCCAAGACTTTCCTGAACTTCAGATTCGACAGAGAAGCCATCATGAAATGTTTTGACTACTGACATGATGAAGCATTGTGCCACTCCTGCAACAACATCCAAATATGGCCTCTTGGGAACACTGTTAATGACGAGCAACACACAAAACCAACATGAAAGCGTCCTCTTCATTCTCATCACAATTTAAATGCTAAAAAGAGCATTTGGGTTGTTTTCTTTCATTGTCAGGATTATCAATTATCACACAGTAGAATAGAAAATCACTTTCACGTTCAGTTCAATGGTTGTGTCAGTGGAGTGGAAACACATTGAATTATATGTGGAGTTTTCTTTCTCATTCTGGCATTGAAATTTTAATTTTCTCACAAATCATATACACAAAAGGGAAAAATGCATTTAAATTTGCGTGAGTAGATACTTTTTAATATTGTCAGCCACAGACATCTGTACATTGTTGTTGATGTTGGCCTTAAATTTGACCCACATCCCACTTGTGTTTGCCTGATTTTTAGCAGTCAAGTTAACTCAGTAATGTCCTGCACAGGTTTCTGGGTTTAAATACCTGTACGTTTTATTAGACAAGTTCTCGATCGCGTTCTTCATGACCCACTTGTGCCACAGAGTTTAATCGGCTTAAAAACATTAAGACTCTTGAGCTGCGGACCATGACAGAGGACCACAACTGTGAAGTTATTCACATATTCACCTGGAAACATGAGCTAAGTTCATTTTTCATAGAATAATGAACTGTTTTCTGAAGTCTGTAAAGTTCAACCACAGTCTAAGAATCTGGATGTGAGTTCTTTGTTATTATTGACTGTACAGATGCTGATCTCCAGTTGTCCTCAGTGATGTTATGACTGTGAATAAAGTAAAGTCTGTTTTTTCACTCTTGACAGTTGACTCTTTGCTAGATTAACAAATTGAAGATAACATTTCAGTCTCTGTTCTCCTGGAGAATGTCTTGATAACTCTGTGTCAATAGGATCTTCAGTGTTTTATGGTTAGTGAATGTGTTACAGGAACGTGATCCAGAAAAGACGTTTGAATCCATCATGAAGTTCTGCGTCCACTGATCTGAGTCTTATTTAAAGTCTGTCAGAGATCTCAAACACGTAAGAAAGTCTTTATCACCAGTACAGCTGTGTTATATACTGAATATACTGTATTTCACTATTCCAACATATATATACTATGTCAGGTTAGGTAGAACATTATTATCTGCAAGGTGGAAAATTGTCTTAGGCTGTGCAGAAAAACTATAGATTACAAATAAAACCCTTGTAAAACTCAGTGAATCTGCAGATCTGGAGCGAACTAACTAAACACTAACTAAACACTAACTAACCACTAACTAACAACTAAGTGATCAGTGAACAGCTCAGTGTCTGTGCACCTCAGAAAACACACCACTACATATACTGAATGTGCTTTTATCTTGAAGGCTGGACGCTCAGCTAATTACAAGTAACATCTGTATGTTGGATATTTATCTGCTGAAGTTCCAGATGTTTAAGACCCTGAGCAGGTTTAAATCTGAAGATATGACGAAGTGTAAAAGAATGATTGATGTGGCCAGTGTCACAGATGCACGCGCAGTGACGGTGAAGATGTTTCTGTCGAAGATTAGCAGCAGATGATGTCGCTTCGTGTTTTATCAGGATCTTTGATTGTGAAGGAGAAAAACCGGATTCACGTCCGTTGTTGGCGCCACTCGGTGCACGCGCTCGGAGACAAGGTGTGTCCCCGTGAAGAACCGGGAAAAGAACCGGGAGTGACAGGGTGAGGTGACGGGGTGAGAACACACTGTTCACTCCGCCATTCAGCTAATTCAGCTAAAGCTAACTGTAGCTGTGATGGCTACCTATGTTAGCACTGAGCTAGGTAGCCTGTAGAAACACAAGTAGCCATTGAAGCTAATGTCGCGAGGAGACTTGTTGCCATCGGTTTGTTTTTAAATCCTTCTCTTCTTCCTCTTCCGTGTTCTCTGGATTATTTCTTGTTCTCTGGATTATTCCGTGTTCTCTGGATTATTATTTGTTCTCTGGATTAATTCGTGTTCTCTGGATTAATTCTTGTTCTCTGGATTATTCCGTGTTCTCTGGATTATTCCGTGTTCTCTGGATTAATTATTGTTCTCTGGATTAATTCTTGTTCTCTGGATTACTGAATGTGTTCCAGGTGGTCATCAGGTTAAATCCCGCTTTAATCTCTTCCGTGTTGATATTCCCGCTCTAACGACCCGTGGTGACCATGGACTCAAGATGGCGGCGCCACTGGTCGTTACTTTATTAGTAAATCGTCTCTTGTCATCACCAGCTGCTGAAAACATCTTCAGGAATTCAAACACATTCATTTAGAAACACATTCATTTAGTGCGTCACTTAGCAGCAGGTCAGTGGTTCGATCCCCATGTCCGCCTGCTGTTTATGAATGACTGTGCTGAATGAATCACTTGAGTGATTAACAGGACTGGAACAAGCGTTCTATATATCTATACATGTAATATAGATGTGAGCTGTGATAAGATTAAGTGTTGTTGTGTTGCAGTGCATCATGTTGACGACAGCCACAAGCCAGAGCCCGCCACCCCGAGATGAAGTTCACGTCAACGAGGAAGTCAAGATGGCGGTGAACTTCTGTCTGGAGAGGTTTCAGTCCAGTGAAGAGAGAGGTATCAACTGTTTTATATCGAACAACAAAACATGTTTCATTTAAATCACAGAAGTACGTCACTGTCACGCTCACTACTCGTCCCAGTGTGAGAACAAAGCTATGATGGTGGGGCGAGTGTTATCATGTCTGTCCTTTCCCTGACCAATCAGAGGTGGACTTTCCCTCCTGCTTCTCTGGTACTGAGAGGGCTTACATTCAGCGAGTGGCTCAGTCCATGGGTTTCCTTTCTAAGAGCAAAGGGTAAGTTCCTCCACCGGCCGAAAATAAACTGCATGATTAAAAATAAGACGAGTCACTTTCAAGGTAATGTTTCTCTTTCAGGAAAGGCCTCCATCGCTTCCTAACCATCTGGAAGAAGGATGGATCAGCTCCTTCTATCATGCCTCTCATTATCTCCCAGAAGTCCTTACGTTTCATCAACTCCCTGCTTCAGAAATTTCCCATCAGCCACAAGGGCCGCACAGATGTGCAGCCCACTGACAAAAGTGGCATATGTGGGCCTGCTCATCGCTGTGAGTTTCACTGAGCAGTTTGTTGCACTACAGAGATTTCTGCAATACGTTGTTTTCTTTACCTTCATGCAGTCCTCTGATTAGGAGATCAGAGAAATCTGATTCACCAAAGCTGTTTTTTCCTGGGGAATGCAGATTTCTGTAGCACAAACGTCACATCGTATTTGAGAATGATGTATCTGCCATAATGCGGTACAATGCAAGTCATGGAGCAGGGATGTGACTCTACCAAAAATTTAGTGGCAGATACCATCAAATTTCTACGATCTTCAATCCTTATTCCATACCACGGCCAAAAACAAAAGAATAAATCCCATTTACTTAAACCCAAACTCCTTAATAAAGATATTTATATACAACAAACAACAGTGGCTATGTAGCCTTTGAGTAATAAATAAAAAGAAAAGACTATTAACATTATAAGACAGACCAGTGGGTTAGGGTTACTTACGGTACTTTAGAAAAGGAGTACCAGACGTTTTGAGAATTTTGGCATCCGAAGTATCAGTTCTCGTAACATCCCTACTCTGGTGGTACGGCAGCCTGGTGCTGAATTCCTCTCTGAAGAATTTCCAGAATAATAGTATAGAGACAGCAACATGCTCTCTAAATGACAACACTGGAATTAGAGTATGAATAATAGTCTGAAGAACAAACTGCTACAAGAATACATGCATTCTACACTAAGCATTATTTTCAAATTATTTTAGAGCACCTGTGGTTTATGTGTTTCTATTTTATGGTCGGTTCCACAGAGGTATCAATACCATGACAGCAGCGTTTTCAATCTTTCAAAATCAATGAGCCAAAACGATTCACTGTTCACATTTTTATTGTTGCGTACACAGTGATGTCAGTTCACTCAGTCACACCAGGCCCCCATTCTTCTGTATTCAAGAGGCAAGGTCTGCTGTTTATCTTCCCTCAGACAGCAGCGCTGACAGATACAAGCCACTTGGATGCTTAGACAACAGCGCCCCCTTTGTGCCTCCAAGCAGGAATCCATCTGAACTGGACCATTTTCGACGTTCCCTACCGATTTATGAATCCCAGGAGGAGATCGTCCAGCTCATCAGAGCAAACAGGGTGGTGCTAGTGGTGGGAGAGACTGGCTCCGGAAAAACTACACAGGTGGGTTTGTTCGACAGGAAGGGAATCCAGCAACTACTGGACAAATTGAGGTGAAAGTTGGTACCACTGTTCTTTGTGCAGATCCCGCAGCTGCTGCTGGATGATTGCAGCATGAACATAGAGCCCTGCAGGATCCTCTGCACTCAGCCCAGATGGCTGGCCGTCCTCGTTGTGGCTGAACGAGTGGCGAAGGAGAGAGGGGAGAGTGTGGGCCAGACCGTGGGTTATCATATCAGACTGGAGTGCAGGTAGATGAGACTAGAATCTGTTCTCTGTGATAGAGGACAAACCAACACTTCTTATGTTAAATATCTATGCCCACATCTATTGATGAACAAACAGTACGTTGAACACATTATTAGATAAAAGTTATGGTGAACTTGAGTATTTTTCAAAAATCAATTTCTTGACTGTACTAGATGTTATCTGAACATCTGATAGAACAAACTGTACATTCACACATGGTTTATAGAATGTAAGTAAAGATCCAGAAATGAAGGTCAGATATCTTCTATCTACTTATTATTCTGAAAGTGACTCTTTACCTTTGACTTTGAAACCTTAGACACGGTCCAATGACACTGCTGACCTTCTGCACCAATGAAGTGCTGCTGAAAACATTGATGTCTGGAGATGACTGCCTCAAAAATGTGACACACGTCATTGTGGTGAGCATCACGACTCTAATATACAAGACATGTAGAGTCAGACGTGTCTAACACCACGTAATGAAACACAGCTATTGAAGTAGGGATGGTTGTTTAAAGAGTATCTAAAGTTTGAAGTCTTTTTCATCTTGAGGAGTGTCGTCCCTGTCTCCCAGTTTAGACTTCTGTTTTAAACTCGCTGATCAAACACTTGGTGTTAAAGTGATTGGCTGTGTTTGAATAGGACGAGGTGAATGAGCGTGATGGTCTGACTGACGTCCTGCTCACAAAGATGCAGAGTGTGCTTCAGAATATCCCCACACTGAAACTGATCCTGTCCAGTGCTGCTCTGGACGTCGACCTGTTCTCCCAGTACTTTGGCCGCTGCCCTGTTATCCACCGTAAGTTACACTCACTACTTTTGCAAGTTGTCTGTGAGCGATGACTCCACACTTTTATTGCAGAACTGTGATATGACAGAGACGCTTCTTGCCCAGGGAGTTTCCTGACAGCCAAGACCACGGCCGTCCTGAACATTTAGAACTGCTGGTACAGGCGGCGGAGGTCTTGGCCCCCTGATCCAGAGGTGATCAGGGTTCCTGCAGCTCCTTAATAAGTCTTAAATCAAAATCAACGGGGTCAAGGTTTTAAATTGACCATATATTAGCTGCAATCTTGTGTGTGTGAAATAACTGAGGTAATAAATGTGATTCATCAAGGAACAGTCATATAATTTAGTTTACAGTGTAAAAAACCTTTAAGTATGCTGTATCTCTTTAATAAAGTTTTTGTCATCTAGTCAAAGGACGACAGTTGGAAGTGCAGGAACTTTTCCTGGAGGACGTTCTGAAGCTGACAGGCTTCAGGAAAAAGCTTGGGACACAGAGAAGTACGAGGCTGTTATTCTAGTATTCCACCGAGTCAGACTGA